CTTTTGGGAAATGCCCTAAGATGAACTAGATTGTCAGCTATATTAATATGAGAGGCTGGGGAGAAGAAGATGCTAGCCGCCCACTTTTGGTTTGGGTTTTCAGTCCATAACATGAGCTACAACTATATTTTGACGTGGCAAAAAAAAAAAAAAAGTCAAACAAGAGAGTGTGAAGCACCAAGGAAAGGGAATAGTGGTGGCCAAAGATGAAAGAAGCTGCTGGACATAAAAACATTGTAGACAGAAAAATTTGGGGAGGGGAGAATGAGAGATGTTTCAAATGATGATGGGGGAGGGAAAGCAATCGGTTGGGCCTTTGAAATTGTGCCAGGAACCAAGAGCCAGGGGCAGTGGCAGAGGGGAAGGCCAGGTAGGACAATTAAAACGGAAATCTGGCTCCTTACAGCGCAGCATGAAGCGGGGCTACAGAATTTGCTGCAGTGGGAGGTGGGGCCAGTCTGGCACAGTCTGTGGGTTTGAAAGGAGCTGGGCGGGTTGGGGAATGCCAGTCAGCCTTTGTAGTTCTGAGCTCAGAGAGGGGGTGACGAATACTGGGCTTCAGGTCAGAAGCCTGGCTTGGGTGGCTCTTGGAGAAATTTTCCCTCTGCTCCCAAACTCTTAAAATGCGCTCATCACACCACTGTTCTCCAATCACAGCAGAAACACGTGTCCTGGAGGCTGTCTTCCAGCAGAGGTTGTGGCCGTGGTACCTGTTGGCCGATTGATGGGGTCCCTCCCCTCCTCTCCTCTCCTATTCCCTAGATAGCCTAAACGAGACTGAACACAATATCTTTGCATATTTCCCTTCACCCTTCCCACATGCTTCCTATCTCCCAGACTCCTAGGGTTAATCCCCAGGACAACCTTGCTTTGAAAGAAAAAATGTGGTGAGCCTCCTAGAAGATTTGGATCTCAGAAGCCTCTGTCCGTCCTGCTTCAGCCAGACGCCAGACAGCCGGCTCAAGGGGATGGACATTGACAGGGAAAGAAGCAGTAAGTTTTTGTTGTTGTTTGTTTTCAAGGCTTGGTTGCTCTCCAGAATTAAGGCCCCTAACAGCCTGAGGCTTTCTTTTCTTTATTTTTCCCCTTTCCTTTCGTTTCTTTTTCTTTTCTTTCTTTCTCAGCAGAAATAAGTGATATCCCCTTCCCATGTTGGGGGGTCGGGGGAGGCTGACTCAGAAAAGCAATTGGATTAGGAGGGGTCTCTTCATTGGTGTTCATATCATGGGTTAAAAATATCTGAAGTTGATTTGTGCATGCCTATTCTCAACACTGTAATATTTTAAAATGTATCTGCATTTGTTAAAGTAATTTGTACTGATTATTCTTCTCCAGAATAAATACTATATATCTGGCTGATTGATTGTAATTATGATGAATTTGTCCCGGCACTTGCATGGATGTCTTCTTTGAGAATTTTTGTGCATATTTGCTGCTCATCAAAGGGAAGGATAGAAGGACTTTGGAAGGAGGGTGTGGTCGGCTGATTCAGCTTCCTTCCCGGCCCATCCCTGACTCTTTCCCTGTGCTCCTCCCTCTCCCCATCTCCTACCCTGGCTCCTCAGATCCATCCTGAGCCAGCTGTCAAGGAAATGGCATTTACCTTTCATTTCTCGTACTGCTTGTGTTAGACTCAGGCATGTAGGAGACCACTCCCCACGATCAAACTCATTCCATGTGTGATCTCAGCATATTTTCGGACAAGACAGAGACCAGACTATTGCATCTACTCCTTAAGCTTCTCTCATCCTGGGATTATTAGCCAAGATTGTGATAACCACAATAATACTGTATTTAGAAACTCTCTAGCACATTTCGTTTCTGAGAATCTTCCAGATGTTAACTAATTAATCTTCACAACACTCCGTACAAGAGAGGTAAATATTATTAACCATGATGGAATATACATATGTATATGCTAAGGACAGCAAAATAGTTCACTTATTTATCATGGTTCACTTGATCTAGTAACTGGTATTTTTAAAACACCCATCATAGATACAATAATTAGAGATGTGCTTTTGTTAACAAAACCACTACCCACTTCTAGCGTACCCTTGGGTACTAAATAATTACCCACTTTGTGTGGTTATCTAGCTCACTAATTACCCACAGAAATTGGGGTCAGGTGTTAACTGCTTGAAATAAGTATCCTCCAAAGACATCGCTGAGTTGTGTAGAGAAAATGATGTGTTCATAGCAAAACTTTCATAACTCATATATTTGTATATCTTTGTAAGCGGAGTGAATACAGACAGGGGCAAATTAGCTTAGCATGTAAAAATCGTGCTGAACTGTTGTTGCAAAGATAGAGAGGTTTAGGAGAGTCTCGGGGAAATTTCATCCTCTGTTTACCTTGCCTTTCTGAAGATGAGTGAAAGGACATGATTCCCATAATCTGGCCTTCATATGCAAGCACACTAAGACAATTGGTGATTCTGGTTAGGAATGATTCATTTTGGCGTTACAGGGAGGCACCCAGTGAGTCAAAGATTTTTTTTTTGACAGCTCCACCCTTTATGATTATTCTAGCATGTTTCTTTTTTCTCATCAGTCTAGTGCAAACACACTATTAGCCAAATCTGAAAAAGATTCTAACCCAGTCACCAAGCCTGCCAACCGTCTCTTTCTCCTTCCTAATAACGACCAAAAAAAAAAAAAAAAAAGATTAAAGGGAATCCAACACTATGATTGTACGTCTTTCTCTTTTTGCCTCGATTTGTTCTCCTCCTACTCCTCCCTTCCCCTCCTCTCCTCTCTTCTCCTTTCCCTTCTTCCTCCCTCAGTGTCTCCTCATTTGTGCTTTTCCTTCTCCTTTCCTTGGGCATCCAGCTGTGCTTCTGCAGGTCTCACAGTGAGAGACAAAGCGCAGTGTCTGAGCTGAGCACAAAAAAGCTACTTTTAAAAAACATCGACTTGGAGCAAACCTGCATCCTCAGATACCTCCCTCCCTTCCTTGCTATTTACAGAACCCGGCATTACACTTAACACAGCACTGCCTGTTGTCTGCGTGATTCCAGCCAGGAAAATCGGGTGAAGATGGCAATACACCCACTGTGTATGTAGATAGGTAGAGACCCCGATTTTCAGGAACTACCTGTTTTCCGGGATCGAGCTTTGAAAACGCACGCCAACAGACGTGACGGGAGATGCTCCCTTGCTCAACCCAGGATGTCTTTCATTTTTATCTTGTGCCACTTTTTTTGTCATCTGAATTATTGCTTATCATTATCAAGGGGCTTTAGGCTGATCAATGGAGTGTGTGTGTATCTGATGGACATTTGAGGAGAAACCCTTCAGAAAGAAGGAAAATGTCTGCAGTTGGAAGCAAAGGGTTAGGATGAGCTACAGTGACTGATGAGTTCATTTCAAAATCCACGGGAACGTAAGTGGTAAATTAGTACATATGGCAAACATAGTCAACGAGCAAAACCTGCCATTGAAAGGAAAGCGATTTTTCGCATTGTAGTCATCTCACGCCTGAATAGAGTGCGTATTTTAAATATAGATTTGAATCACTGCTCTTTTATCTCCCTAAATGCCGATTTCAAAGAAGACTTTGGGCGCTGCTGACTTTCTGGCCATAAAGAAAACCCACCGAAGATTCACAAAATGCACCAGCACCTGTAGTCCAACACGCCTAGGTGTTTTAAATGCCGGAGGGATGCAGAACAATTAGGCAGAGAACTGCACTGTGGTCTCTCTTCTTCACTCCTTCCTTCTCCTTTTTTTTTTCTTTCCCCCTTTCTAGAAAACACCTGATCTCTGGGTCTAGCAGGCTGAGGATTTTTCTGTATTTGTATAATACAATGTCTGGCCTTCCCCCTGACCTGCTGGTGTATTTTTGGCCTCATTAGTAGTCAGGGAGATGCCTTAGTGCATCCGGGGCTGCGAGTCAGGGATGAGACACTACAACGGAGAGAGAGGGAGCGAGCGCGCGAGGATATTAGAAGGGAGGCTTGTCTCCAAGATATGGAAGGAAGTGAGAAATGACAGGACCGCAAGCTTTGTATGGAGGAGCCTGGCGGGGCGGGGGAGCGGCGGGGAGAGCCAAGTGGATTCTCAGAAAAGCAGGGAAGCCGTAGAGGAGCTAAAGGTGATTAGAGGGGGATATTGATTCCTTACTCTGCCAGAGATTTAAGCAGGCATGCGAGGAATCTGCACCATGGTTGGCAAAAGGAGACCCGTTGCCTCCTGTAACCAGACACTCGGGCTTTCCAGGAGCCCAGGGAGAGAGCCGAGAAGAAAGGGGGCAGTGTGGTCTAGGAAAATTCAACTTGTCGCTGATTTGTGCCTGATGCTTGCTGCCCGTCAGCAGCCTCCCTTACAATCTTTTTTTTTTTTTCTCTCTCTCTCTCTCTCTCCCTTTTTTTTTTCTTGCCTTCTCCTTCTTCACCGTAGCCTAGGGGAGCCAGCAAAGATTAAATGTGCTTTCTCAAAGGCAGCCACTTCATGCTGCTATGTCGAAAGGGCCATTATTATTATTATTTTTAATAGGAAAAGGAAAAGGGAGAGAGAGGGAGGTTGAGACAGGGAGAGAAGCAAGGTAGGTTGATGACGGACTAGCTTTTCTGGGAGGAAAAGGAAAGTGAGAGAGAAAGGAGAAACCCTGAACTGAACTGGACGATCGAGCCCGAGGAGAGCCTTACAGAGGTGAGAAAAAAAAAAAAAAGTTGTCTTGAAGATGGGGAGGGGGGGTGGGGATGCTGAATAGATCCTGTGCGGAGGTAAAGGAGGCATAATTTAGCTGTCTTGCTGGTGTGATTCTATTTTGGAAAGGGGGGGAGGGGGGGAAGAGCCTGGAGCTTTAATGGGTTTTAGTTGCCTGTGGAAATATATACCAAATATTTAGCATTTTTACTAAGTGCTGGAGGCCCCTCCAGTGCCTTCCTTGCGGGGGCTGCTTTGTCATTCTCTGACTTGCCAGCCATCTACCTTGCTGAGGCTGGAATAAAAGAAGAAAAAAAGAAGGAAGGAAGGAAGGAAGGAAGGAAGAAGGATAGAAAAAGAAAGAGGAAAGAAAGAAAAAGAAGAAAAAAAGAAGAAGGAAAGAGGAGAGGAAAAGGGGAAAGAAAAATTTTAAAGGAGTCATCTACCCACCCACTTCCCCTCCCTTCTCTTCCCATTTTGGAGGCGGCACAGGAGCCCCTGGCGCAGAACAGCTCGGCTCCCAGGCAGACTGGGGTTGGGGGGGGGGGGGCAGCGACTCTCTCTCTCAGGTACAGAACCGGTAGCTTCTGCGAAGATGGAGGGGAATTAGGCTTCTGATTCCTCTGAAATATTGGCAAAAGGCTCCCCAAGGTTCGGCGGCGGGAATGGGGCAGGGGAGACGGCTCTCCCCAGCCTGCACCCACCCCTTCCCACCTCGCCTCCCAAATGACAGCCTGGTGCTGGCTCTGCGTGATTTGGCCTTGGCTTCAGCCAAGCAGCTGATGCAGAGGAGGCCCCGTTTGCAGGACTGACTGGCAAAGTGCACGCTGAAGAAAGAAGGAAGAAATTTTTTAAAGCAGCTCTGGGGAGGTTTCTTGTTCCTAAAAAAAAAAAAAAAAAAAAAAAGAAAAAAAAAAAAAAAAAGAAGAAGAAGAAGAAAGAAAAGAAAAGAATTAAAAAAATTTTTTAACTGAATATTTTCCAAATTCGATCAGCCCCAGCCCCTCCCTGCGCCTCCCCCAAATTGCCTTTTTTTTTTTTCCCTCCCTCGTCAAAGCATAAACTACAGAGTTACAGTCTCTAGATTTGGTGTAACGCTTCCTGCCCCCGCCTCCCCTCCCCGCCCCGCTGTCGGTCCTCTATTGAAACACCTCGCCCAGGCTAGCGCACTGCGAGCTCACATTCCCCCCCTTGCTCGGAATGGTGTTACGGGAGCCTGCAGCCCTGCTCCGCTTCCATGGGTGAGTCTAAAACGCTATTCGCATTTATACTTTCATGGCCTCCAGCCCCTACTTCTTGGTCTTCTGCTTCTGAAAGCCTGATTTCTCTGATTTTGCATGCGGCATGCCTTGCCCAGGGGGAAAGAGATGCCTCCTATTTTCCATACGGTCAGCTGTGCTAGTTGTTAAGTTAAAGCTTTGAAAGGGCATTTAATCCTTATGTTAGTTAGACCATGGTTTATAAAAAAAGAAACAAGCAAACAAACAAAACCGTGGGCATTTCTGGGTCTATGCATATTGTTTTTCATTTTAGTAAAACTGTGTTGCCCAAAGCTTCAAAGAGTTTTCTCTGATAGACTCACGATTGTGTGTTCAGGTATGTATATATGTCCACGGATCCTGCGTGTGTGTGTGTCTGAATATATGATATATACATGGAACCTAAATGTTGTGACCTAAGGAAGCTTCCAGAGTGAGGGGGTACCCTGCCACCTGTTTGTTACCTTTTAGTCATGAACCTGGAACAGAAATTGCCTGTCATTCTTGTTTTGCTTTGCTTTGTCTCAAGAAAGAACAATTTGTTGCGCTCCTCTCAATCCCTGAGACCCTAACTTGTGATGTTTACCGTTTAAATCCACGGGTTAGGCTCTTGGGAGCTGCGAGTCGTGCCTTTGCATCCTGGAAATTTGGTGGGACTTTTTCCTTTAAAGCAAAAACAAAAGAAAAGAAAGTTTGTCTGAAGTGATTGAGTGCACCTCTGAGGTTTTCATTGTTAGGAAGGGGTCAGGTGACCAGAAAGTGGCAGCTCCTGGATTTCTGTTAAAGTAGGTATATATTCTGTTATAAGAGCGTGTTGGCTGGTGTGTGTGTGTGTGTGTGTGTGTGTGTGTGTGTGTGTGTATTATTGGAGCCTGAGGCTTGTGGAACTCCTCTACCATGGTCTATTTCTTGAGAGCAACACGCAGTACTATCCGAGCGTAACAAGAACAGCTCAGTACCTGGTGCTTGACCTCAGAACATATCAACTGAAGTCCCAGCATGCCCCGTGCCTCCAACTTTTAAACTCAACAGTTAATCTTAAAATTGTGCCCAATTAAAATGGGCATGTGGACATGTTACACATTCGGGACTCACATGTATGTATCATATATGGCTAGATGGTGAACACGCAGACACAGATGGGGCAGACCAAGAGTTTGGGCTAAAATGTTAACAGGCTAAAAATACTACCCTTGCTGTTCTACACGGAGGATGAAATTTACAGTATTCATAAAGACCACATTTGTATTACTTTGCAAGATTTTAAAAAATAAGAGGAGTGATAGAGCCTCCTGGCTGGGCATCTATTTTAAAACGTTATGCACCGTGAGTTTAAATGTAATAGGGATTGGAAATATATTTTCTAGATATATAAATGCAGAGAAATAACCACAGCACACATACATGCAATTGTTGTATCTTTGGGGAGTAATCATTGCCCATTATTCTTCATTTAAAGATTGGAAAAAATTATCAGGATTTACATTCAATCCAACAAAGTTATTGATAACACCAAAATGTGCATTTAAAATGATCTTCTCTTAGGATAATTGTTTACGTAGTTTGCAGTTTTCTGAAAACGTAACTTTTCGTGGCAGAATGATTTTAGTGATTCAGATCTATGTCCTAGCTGAAGAAGAGAAACAGTAACTTACCTTTCCTTTGTTGTGAGAGATTCCAATATACAATTTTATTTAAACAGTTTCACTATTCTTGGGCCAACATTTATCTTCTATTTTTGGAAAATACCTAACTCAGCCCTGACTTCAAATGCTTTCTTCTTTTAAAGACTATATTGGCTGTAACCTCATTTTATACGTGTAGTGGAAGGTTAAGGAAACTGTTCTTTTCCTGTGTGTGTTTTTTTAAGTGTTTATTGCAATTTCAATCATTGACTCCAAATCGTAGTCAAGAAACCATTTTGTATCAGAAAACTGAATCGAGAAAATGAACCGTGCAACAATTGCACCATGTCTTTTGTTGAGACCTCTTGTGTAGTTGTACTATTTAAATATTACTTTCCAGTCTTTGGTGGCCTGAATAGGCTTCAGAGAAAAGAGTTACTTGATTTTCAAGTCATCCTTTGGTTTCTGTACAATGGATTAATGATTTTTCCCCATCTTAGCGGACGTGTATGCATAGGTATTCGGAATTTATGGAAAGGGATCCATTTAACTTATGGATATATATTACCACATGATTCATAGCAAATATTTGCAAAACATTTGGTGCTTTCCTAAGTCAAAATATATCTGCAGTTAATTCTATGAAAATGTATGCATGGGCCAATAAAAATATGCTGGATATAATTCTTCTGTGATTTTAAAGGGTAACAGGATAGTAATTTAATACAAGTGATACAGTTTGTATTCCAAGGCACTCTTTTTTTTTTTTTTTACATGTTTTCAAGTGGATTGCTCATGCCCTGAGGTTGCTATCACAACTGATCACACAGGCATTTAGGAGTGCACAACGATACACAGGATTTTGTATTTCAGCAGGGGACTGCTCCAGTGTAAGGGCAGGTTTCTCAACACCCCTTCTTCCTCACCGAGCCCATCAGCGAAGTTCAGTGAAATGAATAACATAATTGGTGGTTGGTTCAATCACTACCAGTCTAGACTAGCCCAGACGCATCAATTAGAGAGAGCTGTCTTTTAAAGGGGGAGCGCAACCGAAACAAGCAGGGCATTATTGATACTGATCTTTAAAAGTGCAAATCCAGCTTGGCAGATAAAAAAAAAAAAAATAAGGCGGAGAATTGGGGGGGGCGGTTTGCGTTGCGGGAAGAAAAGAAAAAGACGTGAACTGGAGCTTTCGGACACAGAAGGACAGGAAGCTTGAGAGAAAAGGAATGGATAATGAGTGCAATGCAATGCAGCACCTCCTTGGAACACACAGTTGCAATTCAGTTCACAGGGCATACTGGTTCACCATATTTTTAACTAGATTTCCCCCTCCTCCTTTTTTTTTAATTCCTTTTTTTTTTTTGCCTCTGTTTCCAAAGAAGTGCCAGCTTAAAACCAATGCAGTTGGAAATTTAACAGCTCTAGGAAGCTCTACTGAGAAGAAAGCCAAGTAATACGAACCAGCCAAAACTCCTTTTGCAACATTTTTCCCCAAAAGAAAAACACAGAAGATGTTTATTTTTGAGTCTCTAATTCTACCTTTTAAAAAAAAATTGACTGTACTAATGAACAGTACTCATTTTAAATCCAGCACCTGGGAGCTAATTTTATGGGCAAGACACCTTTAGGTAAACAGTTTTCTGTCGAATACAGTGAAATGATGAAGAATGTAACAAAAGGCTTTGGTAATTTGGTAGTGGTGGGGGTGGTTTTTGATGGAGAAATAACAGATGATTTAGAAAGCGTTAGGAACACATCAAGCCCCAGGGAAAGAAAATGTTTGATTGGTATTAATTAAAACACTGCTAATATATTCTAATAAAATCAAATTTAACATTCTAAACAAATCCGCTCGGTATGTCAAAGGAAAAGAAAAGTATTATCTTATTTGCATCTCTGCCATCCAAATGCATTTGCTCATTCAGCAGAATTAATTTTTATCACCAGCCTGTTTAATCTCCTCACAGATTTAGTCAAACTTATTCTTTCAAACTAAAAAGGATCAGGGGAGGGGATCTATGGAAGGTATTGGGAAGACTAGAGACTGTATTTAGCACTGCTTTATATTTACCATGTCCTTTTCTCTTCCTTCGCTGTAGTGGGGTGTGGAGGCACCCGTGAGACTCGGGTGTGGGGGGGGTGATGGATGGTTAATTTTCCTCTTTCTCTCCTACCTACCGGGTTATTTGGCAATTTCAGTCGCCAAATTATTTGAGTGGCATTTATTTACATGACTGATGTTACTCCGTTGATTAATATCTCATTTATTTCTAATTTCAGAATCTATTTTATTACAAATTCCTCATGCAAAAAAAAAAAAAAAAGCTCTCATGCTCATGCCACACACCAATCGCTTCTTCTCAATTATTTGCAACTCTTGTCCCCTTAAGATAAAGTGGGGAGGTGAATGTAAAATTTTATTCACTAATGAGTTCTTTGTTTCATTATTTTAGCCAAAATTTCTACGGAAAAATGTATGTTTTCTGAAATGGCGAGTTTTGTGCTCTTTATTGTTAAACTCTCACAATGGGTAAAACTGTCCCCTAATGACATCATAGCCAAAATGCTTCTCGTCTCATTTTGTCTTTCATGACTATGATATCATATGTAAATATGTGCCCGACACAAAAAATGAATGGGCCAGAAATATCGAGGGGCCACATTTGTGTATTTCAAAAGTGAGGAATTCCGTCCGGCCTCAAGGAGATGGAAACTACCAGACTTATAGTCCTGATGATACGGCTTGTTTTTGCTCCATTGCCTTTTTCAGTTCTTCAACGTAAAAGAGCAATCGCAGTTCGGTTTCACATGTATTGTTCTATAATCCAGGCAATAAATGCTAATTAGTAATGCTCAAGGATCCGACCATTCAGAGTAATTATCATAATTTACTTCTTCCTTGTTAAAGACATTCCTTGCTGATTAAAAAAAAAATTAAATCGCTTTCTCATTGCACTGCAGTGGAAATGCATTGGAGACTTGTCCAGGGTATAGTAATACGGTTCTGGCTGCCTTCGAAGTCCTCGACATGTGCCTCTAAGCTTATTCCAAATGGAATTGCAACTTAATTTCTAAAAAGAGATTCATGTAAATGCATAAAGTTTTGCATGTGCACCAGGAATGTATGATTTTATTTTACAAACCCCAAGGCTCCTCCTTCCTGGCCCACCCCCTTTCTAAAACCACTTACTGAGCAGAACAAAGGAAACTGCTAACTATAGAAGCATCATTAAGTGTGAACACAGCAGCATGATAAAGTATGTGATATGACAACATATTTCATTGCACAAAAGTGCAGATAATTAAATAATTCGATAGTAACCCTGACTAATTAGCAGAAAGATCTTTAAGGAGGAATCAAGAAAATGGATCCAATCCACTTGAATAATATGCTCCATTCTCCAAGATCGCAAATACATATTTGGCTATTTGATAATTGATTGATTCATACAGAAAGATAAGGACAAAAGCCTGTTCCTCAAAATGGAGCTTTGATATGGCATCCTCTTTAGGACAAATTAATCATGGGTTCTGTAAGAGCAGAATTTAATGTAGGGCTCTCTGTTTCCAGTCAAAGGTGTAATCCTCCATCAGTTGCACATTTCTCTTTTATCAGGTGTTCTAAAAACATTGCCAACCCCTTTGCTTTTCATATCATTGCCGCAGAATATATATATATATATATATATATATATATATATATATATATATATAAAGCCTCCTCCACATTTTCTAATGAGACTTCTGTTTAAGTTTACTTCATCTTGCTTGAAGCAAATAAGGATGCAAGGCACAGAAGGCATAGAATAAATAACCATGCTGAATATTATATTTGGTGGAATCGTCCCCCTCCCTTGCTTTATGTATCAAGGTAATACTCCCAGTTTCATTGTTCATTGGTCCTTTCAGAAATAGCTTCGGCTTTTACTTGAGGGTTGTAAGCACATTAGAGGAATAATTCCCTCTGGATACTATACAGAAGGAGCCACCTGCAAAATGTTGATGCTGTTATTGAAATCTCAAGTGGAATCAGCTTTCAAAAAATTAGATATTAGATGCATCCGATATAATTTGCAATGTGTAATTATACTAATGTGCATATAGTTGTGTGTTGCTTTACATGTTGCCTACTTGAGATTTTTTTTTTCATGGGCATTTCTCATCATTTGAAATGGCTCCTGAGTAGAATGTTCTTAAAATCGGCTTTTAAAAAAATTCCTCGCCAATTAATATTAGAATACAAGGGCTCTACGGTCTGTGTTTTCATGTAAGAATGAATGAATGTGTGTGACCTAGATGTTGGAAAGTAATGATCTCTAAGAGGGTTATCATTTGTGGACACTTGATTTAGTTGTAAAATATTGCCTACTCTTTACTGATTTAGTCTTTATCCAGACTTTGGACAAATTGTGAAGTAATGGAGAATATTAGAATAGTAAATCTTATTCACAAGAAATCCATTTCCGTTACTGGGATGAGATAAAATGCCAGGGAAATGACTTTAGGCAGAGATAATTTTAATTTAATCAAAGTGACCAAAATCATAACAGTAGTAAACAACTTCTTTCCCATTTTTCCTCCATTTTGCATGGCGCATGATGAATAACTGAAGCTCTGCCTTAAGTCATTTGTGCACTAACATCAGCTTCCCTTTTGGTGTCTTGACATGGTGTTCCGTTGGACTGAAGACCCCCTCCCCACCAAGGAGCTGGCCCCCGAAGATCTAGCTATTAAGGAAAAACCCAGGCAGTGCAACAGTGAGTTGATTGGTCAGCCTGGTGCGTGGCACTTGCTATATGCTCAGTAGGTGGAGATGCTCTTGATGCAAATTTGGAGAATCATTACCGTCAGATCACAGAGGGACCCTGAGCAAGGCTACGCAAGGGTCCCAATTTATGCTTATATGTTTGGGAGACAAAAAAGATTCCAAGGGAGCTCATGCTCATGTTGAGATGATGCAAGATATTACTCATTCCAATTAAGTAGGCAGAGGCCCCAAAGAAGGCTGATTTGTTAAACGTTTGACTCATAATAGACACCAAAATACAGTGGCTCATATTTTTATACTATTTATTCCTCAAAATTCATTTTAATGATGGGGCCCATTTTATAAAGGGGGAATTTTACATGGGCTGTATCTATGCAACACCAAAGCAATGCATTGCTTTACTTTTCATTTGCTCATGTATGCAAGGACTTTCCATTAGTACACTACCCAAAGGAGTCACCAAAATATTGTGCGAACCGTCCTTCCTTACTCCAGTAACATTTTAATTTATTCACAAATGAGTCTTACACACGTGCATCAAGAGCTTAGCACCCCACTGTCCCAAACCATGTTCACAAAATACCGAGTTGTAAAATCTGTGAGATACATTTTTAGTTTCTCATCCAGGATCCATTGTCTCAGGCTTGGTCAGAACAGAAAAATACCTGTTAACAATACGTAACACTGAGTTATTTATTAGGTTTTAGAAGACAAACATTATACCTGCTGTTTAGAGACGCATCTTCAGTGTATCCAAAGTGTTTAGGGCAGATCTGTGGCAGTATATCAGTGATATGGGGTAGCACATCCCTCTCGCTGTGCCTAACTCATTATGCAACTTCATTGTGCTGGCATAATGAAGAGGCTGACAATAAAGGCTTTAGTTAAATTAAAATTCACCTGCAAAGTATATTTCATTCATAACAACTTTTGTAGAATAAAAGAAACATTAATACAGCTCTTCCCAAATACCCTTATCTGCAAAATGAGTGGGTTGGATTAGTTGGTCTCTAAATGTTTTTACAGCTTTAAGAATCTTCGAAGCTACTCTAAAGTATAGAAATAGAAGAACAACTCCAAGATCCTTCAATCCGGAGTCCATTTGTACCAACAGTTGTCTTCTAAAGTTATATTTGATTCCACCTCCAGGTGCTTTATTTACTAACATATTTTGCCTTGCTGCTAAAACAGTAAAGGCTGAAGTTCATTTTCAGGAAGGGCAGTGACAGAAAGGAGGAACAGCTGAAGAATGAAAAAAGCTACACAGTGGGAGAAGAAAATTCTTGATCTGACTTCTAAGCCCATGTCCTTCAGCATTAACACAGAAGAAACCCAGACAAGCACCTGCCTTTCTATTTTAAGACCATATTCTTTAGTCCTTCTGCCTTCATTTAATTTCTTGCAGCGTGGTTTTGTTTTACCCCATTGGGTTGATGCCTTTGAGTTTTACATTTCCCTTTCCATTTGATTCGTCTGAATCATATTAATATTCTCTTCAAAACCCACAATAGTCACATTCACACACCACGCTTCCGAAATTAAATCTTAGCATGTTCAAAACCTCCTGAAAATTGCCCTGCCCTATTTTCTAAAGCCACTCTGAATGTATGATCTCTCCTTGAATTAGGCAAGCCCGTTCTTCCTGGCTTCCAAGTCTTTGAATGAGCTGGCACCCTGCTTTTTCTCTTTGCACACTGTGTCCCTCTACCACTTGCACATTTCAGAAACCTTTCTATTCTCTCTCCTTTCTCTCCCTCCCTCCACCTCCATTCTGTCTTCCCTCCCTCCCTCCCTTCCCACCTTCCTTCCTTCCTTCCTTCCTTCCTTCCTTCCTTCCTTCCTTCCTTCCTTTCTCCCTCCCTTTTGTTTTTCCTTTCCTTCTGTCTTCCACTGGGCAAAATGTGTCATGCTCTGAACCAGGCACTAGAAATACAAAGACAAATGCGAGGAACTGACATTAACTCCTAACAATCCCAGTGACTTCATTTGCCTCTGCGTTGCTAAGCACTTCTGTATCCATAGTCCTTTTATTTTGCCTTTAGTCTTTAGATTTCTTTGAATTTGTCCTTAATGTCCTGTGTTCTTTTGTGGTTTTCCTACGTGTCGTATTTCAGTAAGTTGCCTGTTGGATAAACCTGAAGCTTTTCTTACGGAGCGTTTTCTCCCCAGACTGATTAGCGCGGGGTGCTCACACACTCAAGCAGTGCTGTTGCTTGGCTGATCCTCGAGCGACGTGAACAGTGAGAGAGCGCTACATCTTCGTGGTGATGCAGCATTTCACATGTGCTTAGAAATAGCATGGCCCCCAAAGTACCCTTACGTTTGCTTATTTCTATCGAATAGTCAATGTGATAACTTTCTGTGACATGTTCTGTTATTTTTGTAGTTGTGTCGATGTTCCTTTCAGCTGGTCCCATAGCCCCCCTCCTCAGGAAGGTCTCCCCAGTGAAAGAACAAAAATGGCACTGGCCACAGCTGCACTGGTGGACGCTCAAGCCAACTATGAAGTTGAAACAAAGGAAGCGATCACCTGAAGACACCTCTCCTGCTAAGCAGCCCCCCTAAATGGTGCGATTTCAGGCAATAGAACTCCCAGAACACCAGGCAATCTTTTCAAGAAACAGAAAAAAACTTCATGGTGACATCTAGATTTCTCAGGAGCCAAGGACTTTCCCTTCCTCGTGTGTATTCCTCTGTTTGTATTTTAATTCAATGTGACATTCATTTCTCAAATATATCCCCAGTATGAATATGCTTCTTAATGCACTGATTTTTAAAATAGAAAATCGCACAAATGTGTTCATGTTTCAAGGAGTGAAATTAATGCTGTAAGTAGATCCGTTTTTTAACCACATGTGGTTTAATCTGAAGAGTGACCCAAGGGAATGTAAAGTACATTTGAAATAACAGGCAATGAGAGACAATCCAAAAGCTAAAATAATGGTGGAAACTCATAAGGCAGCCAAGAGATACCACATTATCCTACCTGACACCAACCAATGAACCATTCTTTTAATCAAACAAGATAGGTTCTGTAAGACATGGTCACTGCCTCTAAAGAGTGTAAATCTAGTTCGACAGAAATAGGTAAACTTTTGAAAGGATAGTAACAAATCAGGTCTGTAGATGTCAAGATCACACCAAAAGATATAAACAAAGAACTCAGAGGAGTTCACCATCATCTGGGCAAAACCAGTCAATTTAGGGAAGGAAGTTCGCAAAGGAGGAAAATACAAAATGAATCTTACAGAGTGTTAAAGATTTAGGGGCACCTGGCTGGCTTAGTTGGAGCATGTGACTCTTAATCTCAGGGTTGTGAGTTTAAGCCCAATGTTGGGTGTGGAGCCTATTTTTAAAAAAGGGATATTAAAGATTCAGATAAATGGAAAGGAAAGAGAAAATAGAGTCCTTTATTTTTATTTATTTATTTTTTAAATAGAGTCCTTTAAATGAATGGAATATTGTGAGCACAGCCATGGAGGAACGAATCTATGTGATGAATTTAAGGAATTATGAATATACATGTCTAGTTGACATTCAGTGCATATATATATATATATATATATATATATATATATATATATATATTAGGGACTCCACACACACGCTTCCCCTCTCCCACCCTGGGTGTCACCTAGAATTATCATCGTATCTCTTTGCCATTAAAGCAAGTGAGAATGATTGGTGGTAATGTGAGAACTTATGATTTTTCTGTTAACTTAATAGTAATTGGTATTCACTGAGTTCTTACTCTATGTTAAGCATTTTACATAGGAACCCACCTAAGCCTGCAATTCAGAACAACCCTGCAAAATCGGTATTATTATCCCTGTTTTAAAGATAAGGTTTAATGAGGTCAAGTAACTTGCCAAACTACCATATACAGAGTTCACATTCAGAACTGTGATCATAAAGCTCCTGATCTAAAAGCACTAAATCACAATATTGCGATCAATGTTGCAGTATTACCACTTCAATATTCCTCAATAGTTTTTTACGGTAAACAAATAGGTCATTCAGTTATCCCTTCAATCTTTTCTGTTTTCTGCTAAAATCATGGAAAGAATTTTCATGATAGAAAATTGAAAGAATTGGGTAATAGAGTTTATCAGCATTTTAGGCGTTTTTATGTTGTTGCTGCTTTTTTTTTTTTTTGCCAGACGTTGAGGAAATTGTTCACTGTGTTCTGCATGAAATCTCAAATTCTTGAGAATTAAAAAAAGAGGGGGGCACTTAAAGGTCATCTGTTGCAATGTGCTTTTCTACAGATGACAAATCAAAGTTACAGCGACTTACGGAAGATCACACATTTGAGTGTGGCTGAGCTAGGTCCAGAAACCAGGCTGTCCAGTCTCCTTTCAGAGGCTCTTGAACTACTCCACCCTGCCTAAATGAAGGACAAATTTGAATTTGATCAAAGAAAGCATTGTTTCTGGATGATCATTGCACCTAGTAGATTGTTTCAGTTTTTCACCTCTTTGGCTTCCCACCTCAATGTGAAAAATAGCCCGTTATGAACTAACATCTTTTGATGCATAAACTGTCAATAATCCATCCCCAGAGAACACATAATCGCTCAGGTTATGTGTATAATGTCTTCAATGACATTCTTAAGTTATTTGAAATTCTTAGCTCAACTAAACAAATCGGATCTTCTAATGAGCCTTTTCTTACCCAATTTTATGCACAGTATGTATTTGTAAGTGCTTCTGCATGAATATTTATACATGACTGTTTCAATAGTCCTTATGTTTTTGAAAATATCAATGGTTATTTGCTATTTTAATCCTCACTTATCCATGTAACAAACTCAAGAATACTTCAGCCCTAAAAAGCTAGAATTGAGGAAATCTCACTCTTCTTTACCAGCTCCTTTGCATTTAGTTGGCATTTAGTAATGATTAATAAAGTGGTCAGCTGGATAACACAGGGGTTCAATATACAATTCTGTCTTGAAGGAGTCAGTTAAGCTAAATCTACTTAAGGATAAACATTTAGACGTTTGAAAGTACCTGAATATTTGACTGTTGTAAATTTCCATGTAAAAATCTGGCATTGTCAGACTTAGACCTCCTTTTAGCTCAGGTTGTCCTGTTTTCAAAATGATGATTATTGGCTGCATCTCACACAGTTCTCATTAAGTGAGTTCATAAATAAACAGGGTTTTTTAAAGAGTAGCCAAGCACAAGATGTGACTTTGTTGACATTTTATGAGACTTTGTCATATGTCCCTTGAATCCCCAATAAAAGCAATGTTGTATCAACTGTGAACTTGTGTTGATTTCTTGGAAGAGCATGCTCTCATAACTGGTTTGTTTTTAAAGCTGGTTTCAGGATCCACGAGGAGCAGTTGATCTGATGTGATGGGAAAAACTTAAATTTAGAGACCATATCTCATAATCTCATATTGGCCTTTCAATAAATGGCACCATCATCTACCCAGGTCAGAAAGCAAGGGGTGGTCCTTGTCTTTTCTCCTTCTACCTGTCATGGCCAATCACTTAAGACAATCATTTAGATTTTCCCTTCTTCTTTTTTCAAATACATCTGCTTCTTTTCCTCTTCTCTGCAACTGTAGTTAAGACAGCCTGCATTTCTCACCTGGACTACTGAGTCATGCCTCTAGTTTTTCCCTTCATGTTGCCAAGCAGCAGCCAGGGAAATCTCTCTAAACCACAGACATGATCATATCATTCCACAGTTTCAAACTTTTCCCTGGCTTCCCATTGCCCTTGGAATATTGTGACACCTAAAGCTCTTCATATCCTGAATCCTGGCCCCAGCATCCCTGTCTGGACTTATCAGGTACCTGTTTTCCACTGCTTTTTCTAGGTTCTTGCCATGTCTTTTCGCCATTTCTTATTGTTCTCTTTACCTTCTGGGCTTTCTCACACACTTAAACCTTCTGCTTAGTACTATTTCCACTACCCTTCCAGACTCATTCTCTTGTCCTTAAGATCTTATTCTGGAAGTCACTTCCTCTTGGAAATTTCCACCCTAGTTCATTACCACTACCCCTGCCTAAGACAGGCTTCCTCATGTAGGAGTTTTTATAGCATTCTGTGCTTACTTCATACATCCCTTGTCACCCAGATTATGATAATTTATATGCTAGCCTCCTCCATTTGAATGTGAAATTCTAGACCTACCTTGTTGAGTAGGGGAGCCACTTGCCACAGGTGGCTACTGCAATATAAGTTTGCTAATATTGAAGGAAATTAAAAATTCGGTTTCTCAATGGCACTGGCCATATCTCAAGTGCTCAGTAGTCAGATGTGACTAGTGGCCACCCTGTTGAACAGCATAAATGCAGAACAATTCTATCATCGATGAAGTTCTATTGGATAATACTGTCCTGAAAGACAAGTATTATGTTTGCTTGTCATTTCATCCCCTAGACTTGCAGGCTTTTTAAACTGGAATTTGCCATCTAAACCTCAGAGCAAAAAAATTGAGTGACTATTTCTACAGTTTTCCAAAGGATGATATACAACAAAAAATTGTACTATATAAATACAGAGGAAGTTAACTCATTACATGGTAAGATGCCAGATAGGTTTAATTCTAGTATAAAACCCCCATTGGCAAAGTCAACGATGGGCTGTCATAGTGCATGGTACACTGTAAGTACTTCATCATTATCTGCCGGATGAATGAATGACACATCTGGATTCTTAGACATTTCATTTTATTCATTTTCTTTCTTTTTTTTTTTTTAATTAATTTTTATTGGTGTTCAATTTACCAACATACAGAATAACACCCAGTGCTCATCCCGTCAAGTGTCCCCCTCCGTGCCCGTCACCCATTCACCCCCACCCCCCGCCCTCCTCCCCTTCCACCACCCCTAGTTCGTTTCCCAGAGTTAGGAGTCTTTATGTTCTGTGTCCCTTTCTGATATCACCTAGATGTGTGGAGTCATGTAGGAGACATGTCTTTAGATTCCAAAGGGCCTCTTCTCTGGAGGATGTGGTGATAGATGATTTCCTCACTTTCATCTCAAGGATACATTACATTGTATCAGTGCAGTGGGATTACCCATTATTTCACTTTCCTTCATTGTTTACACAGCTAACCAATAGTAGAAAATTGAGTTCTTGGGCAGCCCGGTGGGTCAGGGGTTTAGCGCTGTACTTTGGCCCAGGGCCTGATCCTGGAGACCCAGGATTGAGTCCCACCCACATCAGGCTTCTTGCATGGAGTCTGCTTCTCCCTCTGCCTGTGTTTCTGCCTCTCTCTCTATCTCTCATGAATAAATCAATAAAATCTTTTTTTAAAAAAAGAAAATTGAGTTCCTATTCAGTGAATAAGATCAAAGTGAAAATGATCAAAGTAGATACCAGATTTGATAAGCCCTACTTCTTTTAGGAATTGGCCAAAGTGCACTAAAACTTTTGATCATTTCCTGAGCACCTACTATGTCCCAGACATTTTGTTAGGTCCTGAGGATATAGGAAGTAACAAGATGGACACAATTCCTGTGCTCATAATGAACCATTAATATTATTTCAGTTCCTCTCCCTGCCTTGTACCCAAAGCAAGAGTTTTCAACATTGGTTACATGATGCAACCACCCAGGGAGTTTAAAAAATATGGGATACCTGAGTCTTTCTTCAAAAGGCTGTAATTTAACTGGTGTGAGGCATGGCCTGGGAATTGGGATTCTCTTAAGGCTCCCCATGTGATTAAAAATGTGTAGCTAAAGTTGAGAACCATTCATTTAGGAGGACATAATCTTGGGGTGAGTTTAAAGATTAAGAGCTTTTGGTATTGGTGATTGATAGCCTATTTAAATCAAAAAAAGAAACTTTAAAATCATCTAATATATCCACATTTTACTTTTTATTCCTCAGAATACTGGTACTTAAGAGTTACTTAAGGTGTCCAGGTCAAACAGCCAGTTTATGACTAAGACCTGATCCCAGGCTTTTGACTCTAACACCACTCTCTTTTTGTCCCACTAAGCTATCTCAGGGAAATAGAAAATAATTTTCCCCAAGTCAAGAGACAACCAAGATCCACTGTAGTCAAGGTTTTTTAACGTAAGCTTGAATTTGGACCAGTTTTAATCCCATGTACTCAAATTTTCTTGCTAATCAAATGTGAGCACTATAGATTTATTTTGTTAGAGTACAACTTCTTTTTGGGGGGATATACACAACTCTCTCTCTCTCTCTCTATATATATATATATATATATCTGTAAAGAGAGGGTATAACTTTATATATATATATATCTGTAAAGAGGGTATAACTTTTTGGGGGGAATATATACACCTCTCTTGATGAACAGATAGATAATTTCACTGTACAGAGAGAACTCAGGTTCCCAGGGGCCCTAACCACATTAAAAAAATCAATATGCATATGTTGAACTCCACACATCACTAGAAAGGACATTTTGCCTTTAAACTTGAACTCCTTAACAGCAGAAATGATAGGATAGTAGGAGGAGAAAATAAGAGAGCATTGTGCTCTCACGTTCTCCGTCCCAACCACCTTGTTACAGGACATTCCATTGAGTTTAACATTTCAGAGCACAGGTAAAAATTTCCAGTCTGGCCCCATGAGAAAAGCTGACTCTGAAAAATAACTACCATTAAGAAAAAGTTACCCTTCTTTTCGCAACCACCACTCCCCATTTGTAGGTTCTGCTCAGAGATCGAGAGAATCCAGGAACCAGAGTCCACTCTTCTCCATCCGTACAAGACCACGTAGTGAAAATGTGCCTTTCCATTTTTTAAGGCATCAAAATAAAACTCATGTTCACATAGTTCCTTCGAAACATATTTCAGTGTTTGAGAGACTACACAGTTGGGAAATTCTGTTTTATTTCGATCCCAAATCCCTCACGCTATAGTTTAATCCCATTTTCTGTTGTTCCCTGTGGAGAGAAAGAACAGCTGGTCTCCATTCTCTCTAAACCCAATCCCTTCAAGTCCTTAAAGACACCTACCTCCCAGCCTTCTCTTCTCTGGAATAAATAATAATAGTTCCCATCAGGAAAATGTCTCTCTTGGAGTGTGCATATTAGCTGCCATATCACATATATGCATGCTTATCACATAATGTTCATAACCAAAACAAGCCAAGGCCAAGAGCAAAAACAAGCAAATGCATCATTGTTTTCATGAATGAAGTTACAGATCCAATAATAGATGCTGAATACATAGCTGTGAATGATAATCTTCCAATAATTATGTGCCAAAATTATCATAATTTCTTTTAGAAAGTATTGGCAATCTGTTGCTTTTGGAGAAGTGAATTAAAAATTCGACGATTAGGTTTCAATTTCTTTTATGCAAGTTCTCCCCGTGCCCTGCAATGGAATATTCCATTCAGCATTCCACAGCAGGAGCCACCATTGCTTTGACAAAAATAGATACAGTATTGGAACATTCAGTCAATGGAGTAATCCAATTGTCTGAACATTCTTTTCTGCTTTGTCATTTACATTTTAATAAATCCCAGAATATGTCAAGCTGTATCGAGTTGTACCAAGTGTAGCTAATAACATGCAGTTACCAGATGCAATGAGGAAATCATAACATGCAAGCCCTGAAATGCATCAACATTTGTTTTGTGTATATTTTTAGGCTCCAACATTTTAAATAGGGATACTCTTAAAAATAAAAAATGGATATTTAGCAAAATCCTTGCTATTATCAACATTCTGTTAGTATTCGGTTTTCATAAAGGAAGCTGTGGGGGGGGGGATGCTGTACTTAATTGATCTAAGACTGCTGGCATCTGTAAGCTGCAAGGATGACACTGTATAGCTCGCAAAATGTGGAATGTTGAAGATCTTAAATGATCATATTATGCCCATTTTTTCTCCAGTTCACTGTCTCTCCATTCAGGAGGCTAAGATAATCACATTTTAAAGTCACTTGACATTGCACAATGCCAAGATTCAGGCAAACCAGTCCTGAAAGAGATTGTGTGTGTATGTGTGTGTGATTATTGTTACCTACTATGCATAACTTACCCCATGCATATATTGACCACCAACTGATCCAACACTTTGAGAGATTTGCTATCCTGGTTTGACTGAACCCCCTGAATTTCACAATGTGAAAGAGCTGTAAGGGTAGTGGAGTGAGTCTCAGAATACTGGAGATCCCTAGATAGGTGTGTGCCTAGAGAGGAGAGTTCTCTAAGGATAAGCCTTTTCATATTAGTCTTTACTGGTAAAAAAGAAATCGCATGGACCCTGTGTTGGGCTCCATGCTCAACACGGAGTCTACTTGAGCTTCTTTATCCCTTTCCCTC